TTGTGAGTTCCCGCGTGTTGGTGTAAGAATCAAGACAAACACAGTTGTAGAGGAAAATATTGGTATATTCATGAAAGCAATTAACAATAGAGTGATTAGTAGAACGAAGGTTGGTTAGTACGAAACAATATCCAAAGTCTATAGTCCAACGGTATGTACCGGGTAAGCTTATCTGGACTGCTCACCCTGACTCTCTCCCCAGAGCTAACTTATATAAGAGGGACCAGTCCATTACTAGTTAGAAGGTGGGTGCGCCCCAACAATCTCTGAGATGAGGTATTATGATTACTTGCATTATTTGCATTACTCGGACTGTTATACTCATCTTCGTTGCCATATTTCCAACGTTTCGGCCGTTGTACGCTCCAGCCTTAATGTCTATGTCTCTCTATATATCTGCCTATATCAATGAGATGAGGTATTATGATTACTTGCATTATTTACATTACTCGGACTGTTATCCTCATCTTTATGGCCATGTCATCAAGGACACGTAGCCCAGTGGATAAAGACGTTGGTTAGATCCAGTGACTAGACCCAAAGAGTTGTGAGTTCAATACTAGGCCACAGCAGTAGTGAACCAAAAACATGCAAAGTTGAGTTAAAGGTAAATAACTGAGACATCTAGAAGAGGCATGGCACATGAAACTAGAACAATCTAACCCGGTAGACGAAATAAAGGGTTCGGTTCGAAATTCTAATCACCTGAAGATGGCCGGAGCATACAACGGCCGAAAAGTTAGGAATAAGGCAATAAAGATGATGATAACAGTCCGGGTAATGTAAATAATGCAAGGAATGCGAGTTTATTCTATCTCCTGCTCTTGTAAGTGACTCGACAGGTGACATAGCGTAAGTAACCTTAATTTTGATCTTTTGATCTACCAATTTATTTAATATTTACTTTTAATATATCAAATATATTATATTTTAAGTAAAATGCTTACGACAAAACGCATCTGTAAAATATTATCAAACTACTTCAACTTATATAACTAATAAAGGCATATACAAACACACACAGACATATATATCTTGGAATTCTTTATTTACATCTACAATATTGAGATGTTGAGTGTTTCCGCGTGCGTGTATTGAAATAAGGACAAACACATACGTAGGGAAAAATACTGGTATATCTGAAGAGGTATTTACAACAGAGAGATTAGTAGTCAAACGAACACAGGTTAGTCAGTAACAATCAGAAAGAGTATAAAGTCCAACTGTATCTTCCGGTAGAGAGACGGAAGTGTGATGGTCACCTGATCTTCCCAGAACTCTATAGAACTGTCCTATTAGTAGTAGAGAGATCAGTCCATTCTGATGAGAAGGTGGGTGGCCCCAACAAATATAAACACACACATATACACATACACCTCTATCTTGGCCTGTATCACACACACTTATATATATCTTGTGTTTACATCCGGGATAATCTTCCGATGGCCAGGGAATTGTCGCTAACTACTCTTTCATATGCTGCCATCTTTCGCTACTAAACTCTGTCAGATATTTCTGTCGCCCCCCTCTTCCCAAGACTGTAGTATATTAGACGGAATAGCTGAGAGTGAAGAAAAGACACTTTCTCTCCATCCATCTGCGAACATCTTTGTCTTCAATGACTTTAATGCCTACAACGACACGTGCCTGAAACAATCTAAAGTTACTGATGTTGCCGGTATACAGACATGAAATGTTAACATTGCCCAATCCCTTACTCAAATCGTGGATTTAGCCACTCATTTCCGGAGACAAACTGAGCAACAGTCTTTTCTATTGGATCTATTTCTTACCTCCTTTCCTCGCTCTTGTCGAGCTTGACAATATTTTCCTCTCGGTAATTCGGACCTCTCTATATTAGCTATTGATATCTCCTTCCAACCATCCATTACAAAAGGAACCCCCTATCCATAAGACCTCTTTCCGTTAACAGAATAACGATTGGGACTCACTCTGGGATTTTCTTCGTGACACCCCTTGGACTGACATCTTCATGCTCCCAATTGAAAATTGCGCCACTGAGACTTCTTCTTGGGTCAGAGCCGGCGCAGATGTTTCCATCTCTTCTGGGAAATACCAGGTGAAACTGCAATCCTTTCCATGGTTCACACCAACATGCTCGTCGCCTTAGCAAACAGGAATCACTATTTCCGGTTATACCAGCGTTACAGCTCTCGTCATAACAGGTGTTTATTTGCTACTGCTAGTGATAAATGAAAGCGAGTCCTTGAATAAGCTAAATCCCTGTTTGCTGAGAGAATGAGGCACCGCATAGCATCCCTGTAATAGCCATTAAGAAGTGTGCCCCCGGAACTGGCTCCTGTTCTCTCTAAACTGTACAATAAATGCCTTGCTGCCTACCGCTTTCGTGCCTGTTGGAAGTCATCGTCTGTTGATCTAATTTTTAAGAATTCTTGTGAACCGTCCGACCCATCTAACTATCAGCCTATTGACCTTCTACCCCTTTTGGGAAACTCCTAGAGGTCCTAATCAATGCAGTATTGGTCCATCATCTCTCATCACAGAGCCTTTCACAGGCGAGTAATACGACTTTTGTCCCTCCAACTGCTGATGTAATAACGATAATTGCGGAAAGAGTCTATCATCCACTAAATAAAAATAGTAAAGACCGCGCTGTAGCACTGGACATCTCGAAAGCCTTTGACAGGGTCTGGCATTCAGGTTTTCTCCATAAGCTGAAAAGTTATGGTATTTCTCGGCACACTTTTGAGCTGATCCAATCGTTCCTATCAAATCGTGAAATCAAAGTAATCCTGGACGGCCACTCATCTACATCCTTTTGTACTAACGCGGGTTCCCCCCCCGGCTTCCCCCCCCGGCTTCCCCCCCGGCTTCCATCCTACGCTGTTTTTAAACTTCATTAACGACCATCCCGATGACATCAGCTCTCAATTTGACATCTACGCTAACGGCATTTCCATTTACTCTTGACTCGATACTAAGGCTGATCAGTCCGACAAGGTCAAAATGACAGCTGATATACAAAACGATCTCAAGTACCGTCGTTAACTGGGGCAAAAGATGGCTTGTCAATTTTAACGCCCCCCAAAACTAAACTTCTCTCTATTAGTCATCTGAGATATCCCTCTCTGCCTTCCATCAACATGGCTGATGCTATCCTCCAGAAGAGTGACTCATTGCGCCTTCTCGGGATAACGTTCCCAGCTAACATGAAATGGAAAGATTATCCATTGCTAGGACAGCTGCTAAGAAAGTCGGTTCACTGAGTCGGACGAGAGAATTCTTCTCTCCAGAATCTATCTTACATATCTATAAGTCTACCATTTGTCCATGCTTAGAATATTGCTGCCATATATGGTCCGGTGTCCTTGTGATTTATGTAGAGTGCCTTGATAAGATTCAAAGAAGAAGAAGCAATATTATTGGTCCTGATCTAAAGGTTCGGCTTTAGTCACTTGTCCACCGCCGTAAAACACACACACACAAACACACAGACACAGACACCCACCCACACATATATATGAGATAACGATGTATATTTGTATATATCAGAAACAGTATTGAGGAAATTGCATGACAAAATGTAAAAAGTTTATTTGTAACGCGTTTCATCCGATGAAGTCGTAATGGATGAAACACGTCGCAAATAAACTATTTCCATTTTGTCTTACACACACACACACACACACACACACACACACACACACACACACACACACGTGTGCGCCCGCGCGTGTGTGTGAAATGAGAAAATCTGAATTCAAGATGTGATGAGGCTGTTTGGAAACTTCATGGCATCATACCTTTCTGAATGTATGGCTTGTTCTAAAAAACCGAACATCTCAGCCTTCGTACAGCAAAATATTTACGGAGTTCACAACATATAAATTGTATATTTAAATTTGAAATATAACGCCATCACCACAACAAAAAAGATGGTCAGAAAAATACGACAAACTATAGACATTAACAAATGACGGCTTGATATATGAAAGTGATGATATTTCTAGTCTCATTTAGCCATTATGAGGCCCAAATTTATATTTCTACACCACACACTCTTCTGACCGCTGACGCATTCTTTAAAATGAATTATTTTTTGATGGCATACATTTTAGGCTTTTCACATTATTTTTAGATTTAGATTTTTGGGTTCATGGGACAGTGTGTAACCACATTGCTAGATCTTACGACGAAAGTAGTTGTTACCAGAATTTGCTCTGAAAAAAAGCAAAAAAACAAACTGTGATTACGGTGTCAGGCTGTGGCTGATAACCAAGAGATATCATCTGTTCTAACCTCGGGTAATTTCTACAAGTACATACGCTTAAAAAGTGTAGTATCAAATGAAATCTCAATCAAGAATATTTATATCGAGAGGTCTTTATTTGTGGTGCCCCATTATGTGCTGGACACATCCTAAGTGGGTTTTATGCTCGATGTCAATAGGACTGACTGGATTCAGAGGGGACACGAGGAGTAATTTTATAGCCACCGGGTACAGAATCAGGCTTCAAAAATGTCGGTGGCTGTGTCGACATAGAACAGGAAGTCAACCCAGTATTTTTGGATGTTCACACGCAAGACGGCCGGATGACGTATTTGTATAAAGCCCGACCCATGAGGTGGAAGGTAGAGTCCCCAGCATTCTCGCGGATCAACGTTCGAAGAAAGTCACCGAAATCACATACCTTCACGACCTACGTTATTTTGTCCAGAAGTGAATAAACAATTATTTTCTGTTGAAAGATTTCGTCCCGTATTCTTAGCAGACTTTATTAACATAATCGTACAATAGAATTGACTATTAGAATGCATTGTAAAAATGTATGCATGCATTTAAATACGGCAGTTATCATGCAAAATTTTATTTGCATATCCAAAGAAGATTATTTAGATGCATAGGTTCATATGACTGCGTGGTGACGCTGTGTATAAAAACTCAAAATACTTCTAGCTATAAAATTAGAAATTAACTTTATATAGACTTATTTACATTTCCATAGAGATTGTGAAAC